GAAATTAGGGGTATGGGCACGGGTATGGATAAGATATTTATGCAATCTCGGGCAGACTTCAAGAGATGCTATGCAATGCACTTGCGTTGATTTTAGCCATAATTAGCGCCACTCACCTTAATTCTGCAACCCTCAGCGCAAAAGAATGGGTGTAACCATTCCTTAAATGGTTTCATTATTATAGCTTAACTGCTCGAAAGAAACTGAAGACGAGTGGGTACCGGGTGGGTACACTGATCATGTCTTGGTAGCAGATGACCATGGGCACAGTCCCATGGGTAACGAATGGATTGAGTGAAGGGAACTGCACCCGTGAAGCATCCATGAAGGTTTTTCCAGAGACCTCCTCTGCGCCCGACGAAGCCTTCACGCCACTGCAATGTTGCCAGTTGCATGATACGACGATTTCACGCGCAGCTCCTGAGCCGTTTCCGTAACAGAGGGCCAAGTCTCCTGTGGCGAACTTGCCTCAGACGACCAACGTACTCGGACGTGCTGCCAGCAGCCAGCAGGAAACGCAGACTGATGGTGTCAGAGAATTCTGGCCAGCCCACAGACTGATATGGCAGAAATTTGTCGAATTCCACGTGACACGTGAGAGGGACAACACAATGGTGACTGTCTGGTGGTCCTTGGCCAGACGCATGCTTGGCTCGTATGTACATGGATATCGTCCCTTGTGTGGTTTGGCGATTATCAAAACGCCAGTGCTTCCCAATGAACGGATCTGCTACATGGTTGGGGATTACGTTAACAGAGCCCCCACAGTATGCGGACATCTGTGCCTACGACCACGTACTGTGACAAACGTAGCATGACGAGCACTCACGGGCAATATTCCACAACGCCCACGTCACTGACGGCCATCTCTGTACACCTGTCTACTCCCGTAGAACGGCGCCGCGCCGCGGTGGGGCTCGCTCACGCGCCACGGATCGGGCACCAGACAGACTCATTTACCGTACACGGCGCGCAACGCTGTATGCCACAGCTCTGACGAAGCTGCCACCGAATATCCAACGTATCGCGAAATCTCGCCCACCACGATGTAGTTGATTACATACGCAGAATCCGACGAAATTGTTTTATCGAGTCATCTTAATGTAATGGAAAATCATCAAAAGCTTAACATGAGCTGCAGCAGGGCTGGACCATGACATGCTCTCAGCAACAGCGTAGGGCAGCGGAAAAACTGTGATTGAACTGCCCATGACGCGCGAGCAGCTCTGTGGCGCGCCCTGTGTCACAGTCGATTTTATTGCTTTTATCACAAGTCTGATCGTTGGTCGAAGAGGAGCTACCTGAGTGGCAAAAACTGTATCCCTTAACTGCTAGATCCGCCTTCTCGTCGCGTTCCCTACGAGAAGATATCTTTGAATCTGCTGATTACGTCTGTGCGCAGCTTTCAGCAAAAGTAGAGTAAATTACCAAAATGTGCGCTCCTAAACGCTAAAACAGTTGCCTATGAGCTGTTTGATAAGGTACAGGATTGGCGCAGCGTTGCGGTAGGACACAGGCAGGTTCTGTCTCCCCACTTCTTTAACCATTGCACTGACGGCCACGGGAATCCGTCTCCACGGCATCTTTCAACACAGCTGCAGTAACTATCCGTATCAGCCTTACACAACTGTCAGGATACAAGCATTCAGCAACGCAAATTTTTCTCGTCCAACCCGACATGGTAGGCTTAAGTCATGCCAGGCCAGTGACCCATACATTGCGCAGCCGGGCATGCCGAATCAAAACATGGTTATAGGCAGCATTAGGCACATTGCATTCTAGAAAGGTCATTCTTCATTGTCTCCTGCACGCAGTGTTCTTGATTAACAACAATACAGTGCGCCCCTCTTGATCGAACAATGTCACTCTTGCCAGGCAGGGATGTAATTAGCAACGTGAATCAAAAGGACATGGCCATGTGATGAACTGATGCCTCAAGTAAGGCTCGAGTGGTGCAATGCGGTACGCTTGGTTAAAAGCGTGGAAGTGTTAACGCGTAGCCTGGCACGACGACCAAGCTGTCGACCAAAAACCTGGAAAATAGGAAGCATCATAACTGACCCAATATGCTGTCAATCTCAACTCAGAGAATAAGTTATGCTTCAAGTTCGCGCAAAACGTCATGAGCACGAGGGTGAGTACAGAAAATGAAAATTTTGAGAAGTGCGAGAAGCTGTCCAACGCGGATCAAAACCAGCTAGAGATCCGATGACGCTCCGAGGCCCAAACCTGCCCCGATTTTCAATGACGCGGTGAAATCAATGATCCAACATTATTGACCTTGGCTCAGAGTTAAAACCATGCTCCGTGTTGGCACAGGAAGTCGTCAGTGCAAGCGATAGAGATTTCCGATTCACCCACCGGTAGCGGAGATGGGCCGCCGTGTTTGCTCTCGACTCGACTGGAGTGGCCTGCGGCCGATGGCAGCGGCCGCCCCAAAAGCAAGATGGCGTCGGATGGTAGGACGGGCCGTGCCTAGTATTGCGGCACAATAAGCGTT